CTTGTGGATACATAGTATTACCCCAGCTAGAGCCTTGCCAGTTTACAGTACCTGACTGTTTAATCTGTGTTAGATATTACTGTAGTTACAATCTGGGTTTGCCAGTTTACAGTACCTGACTGTTTAATCTGTGTTAGATATTACTGTAGTTACAATCTGGGCTATCATTGTAAAATATTCTTGGTTTCAATTAGCATCTTGTAAAATGGGAACTTGATTATATGGAGCATTAGGTCATGAACAATGTTCACCATGATATAAAGTCAATGAAAGCAAACAGGTAGTGCAGAACTGATTTTAATATCTCTGTGATTTCCTCTGTTTAAATGAAAGAAATACTGACCTGTGGGATGTAATTTATATCAGTTCAATGCCACCATTCTTTTGCAGCAGCAGCCACTGATACAGAAGTGCTTTGGCTGTCAGTGAACAGTGAGATTAATTAATCTAGGTGTTTCTTCTACTTATGGGAAAAGAAAATTCACTTAGCTTTGTTGAATCTCTTCAGGCAAGCGCAGTGGCCATAAATGTCCTCTTCCTTCTGATGGAGGACAGAAATCCTTTCCTTCTGGAGAGGAGGAGTGCTACAGAGCACTAAGACATAAGAGTGTTTTCCTGTGCTGTGTGTGGAAAAAGGAGTAAGTGCTTGTATTTGTCAGCTGTGCGTGTCTAGCTGTGGTAGGTGCACATTATACAATCATATTTATCCTGTTTTGTATCAGCAGGACTTTAGGAACAGTTAAGGTTTGCTGCACAACAGACAAACATGCTAAAAGGAATTTAATGCTGCAAAGGAAGTTTTACCAGCATGCTGCACTATAACTGGTCACTGTGGTGTCCAAAAGCAGGTTTTCTAGTACATCACCAGGTAAACACAGTTACAACAATTAGTTTTTTCCAGACCTGTATTCACACTGTACCTGTGTCAAAAAGTATTTGCCTTATCATAACCTAAGCCACTTTATTTTCAGGAGCAAGAGTATTGTCCTGGTTATTCTTCCACATATTTAGGTAGACTAGTGAAGGGAAAGGTATTTTAGGAGATATTTTTATTACTTGTGAGAGTCTCTGTTTCTGGCTTTTTGCTTAGACAAATTTTTAGTGATGCGCTTGGAATTTTGCCTTGGCAAGAACTGATGGACTCTAATACTTTGGGCTTTCTCAAGATGATTACTTTTTTCATAACACATACCATGGCTAAAGAGAAAAGGAGTCTCAAGGGCACCCTTTGCTAGTGTGAAACCTGCCTACTTTCTCATTCAGGGTCATATACCTTTCTTGTAGCATTTGCAGGAACTACTCACAAGGAAAAGTGATTCCAGGACAAGACTATTATTTTTAGCTTTCAGTCTTCTCCTTTGGTCTTGTTTTTTCTCTGTACCAAGAAAATGAAAAGCACTACCAGAGCTGGACTGTTTCCTGAGGTGAGCAAGTCCCAACAGGCTTCAGTCTGGCCTCAAGTGCCCTCCCATGTTTCACAGCTGGCCATCACAGGTGCTGGTAGTCATCTTTCACTTCACTTCAGAGGCTGAGAAACTCTATCACAGACCAGAAGATTTTACAGTGTGTGTTTACTGGAGAATATTTTAAAGGAAGTACTGATGCTTCTCTTAGTGTTTGAATGTATGTGCTGACATCAGTGGCAATGATGCTGACTCCAGCTACATTCAAAGAAATCAAAAGGAGGTTTGAACCCAGTTCAGGAAGCCTTTGGTTTTTGGAGAGAAATTCAGCTAGGCTTGAAGTTGCAGCTCATGTCCCATTTTATGTCTTGATATAGCAGAAGTGTGTAGTAAAAGCATATTAATTCTGTTTTGTATCAGCAGGACCTGTAAAATAATTAGGCTGAGTTATGAAATGTGCAGAAATGGCATTATAAAATAAAAATATCAAGCTAATTCAGACTGAACTCTCACTTCAAGGGCATAACAAAGCCCAGAAGTTATTGAGGGAAAATGACATTTGTTCCTTTTCATGTGAAGGACTTCAAGCCCATAGGATGTCAAGTGATGAGATGAATGTTGTCTGTCTGTCAACTAACTGTGTTTTAAGTAGCAGTTGAGAAGATAGAGGGGTTTTTACCTCCTGATGAGTAAACTCAAGCTTTACTTACAGTGATAAAACTCCCAATGTAGTTATATTGCAGCCACTAAAATCAGTCTGGATTTCCTTCATGATAAATAGCAAGCAGGAACAGTGTGCACATCCCTCTCTCAGGCCTAAAGATGAAACCCATTTGATATGGCTGCTGATGAACTCTGGTGACCACTCACCCTCTTTGGCCCTGCTCTGCATCAAGTGCAGCTTTGTCCTCATTGATGGGGACAGTCTGATACTGCATTGGAAAACAGTGAATCCAAACTGCAGCAAATAGCTCTTCTTATTTTAAGAAAATCAGACTTAATGTTGGGAGATTTGTCTCCCTTACTTCCTTGCTGTTCTTTCTGACTTCTTGAAATGCCAATATTAAAGTATAATGACTTTCTTAGCCTTCCTATTACCCTTCCTATTCTTTGAGAGAGGATGTTTGCCTGCTCCTGAGCCTGCTCTGACATGTGCCCTGGCATGCCTAAGGACCCTATCATGAGAAGGTGCTCTGTCTGTGTGAGGAGAGTGCAGACCAGTGCCTTCAGACCACTGGAGGATGAGGAGCACAGATTTGTGATGACAGCTACACAGGAGGCTCAGTTGTGTGAAGTCTTTAATGGTGCATCACAGGCCTCAAGCCAAAGGACAAAAGCTTCTCTCCTTCAGCCTTTTTGCCCTGCTTTCCCTTTCTCATCTGCCTGGCCAGGAAGAAAATTGGAAAAGCTTCCAGCAAGTGTTTCATTTTGCTAAGGTTAATTGCTAGGCATTCTCAAAACGCCTGGCATGCTGATGTAGTGCTGCATCTTAGAGAGTTATGCAGGGGTCACCTACTGAGGATGGAACTTGTTGGCACAGCAGGGCTGGCTTTTAGTACCCTGATTGTATGGCTGAATGGTGAGCACTTGACAGGACACTGTGGGGTGCACCTGCTTCACGGAACAGATGGACCCTTCAGGAGCAAATAAATTTATTTTGTTGTTTCACTTATGGGACTGGATGTGTAATTACTCCCCTTGTTGAAATGGCAAGCTTTGCTAGTGCAAGTTTGACCATGCTGAGGATTCTTTGCTTTTTATCAGGATTTGTGACAACAGTGTATTATGACTGTCTCAATATAGTTTCACTAATGTAGATATGGCTCATGAAGGGCCATTTAATACCAAATATTTTAAAGTTTTGAACAGGTTGGCAGGACCCCATCAATCCACCCCAGTTTGTTCAAAGTGTAGTCTGCTGAACTATACATACTGGCATAATGTATGACATACATGGCAGGTCTAAATAAAACCCCAGAAAAATCTTAAAGGACTATAAAAAAGCACCTTTTGTAAACGTGCACATATCTAGGTTGGTTGGCTCTGTTGCTATCCTGGACAAAATCATGAAAAGACCCTAAAAGTAAGCATTAAAGCATAATGTGTAATTATTATCAGGCAGTGACATAGCATGAAAAATACCTGCTGACAAGGAAATGTCATTGTTTCTTGATGGGGTCACCACTTTGGCTGGTAAACATTGTTGAGTTCTTGTCATAAAATTCCCATAGTCACATACATTCTGATCTAAATGTGTGTCTGTCCAGAAATCAGTGGAGGCTTCAATAAGCATGTTGAAACTGACTTTGCTGAGAAGGCCAATAGTGCAATTGCAACTAATTAGCTGTGATCCAATAGGTATGTTTCTATTGGAATTTATTCATAGTCCTGCCCTGCTCAGTGCCTTTTATCCCGTTTTGACAATCTGGGAGAAACAAAATGCTTATGACTCAAAATGAGGTCCAGCATAACCCATTATTTTATAAGGATGTCTAAATTCATCCATGTATTTTTGATCTAGATCTCATCCATGTGAGGTTGTTTAATCCCTGCTAGCTGGGCTAAGTACTCACTTGCCCAGGTTTTGCACTATCTGGGGGCAGAGAGCAGCTTGTCTTCTAAGTTAAGCTTGACTACACAATATTTAATATACCGAGCAATGAGTCACAGCTGAGTGGGACTTCAGTTGCTGTTTCCCATCAGAAACGGGAACTTCACTGCATAAATGCTGTTTTTCTTTTTTGGCTGAAAGCTGCGTGGCAAGAGTGACATGGAGCTGCTGCTTCCCGGGGGCAGAGCAGCACTTGGTTTGACTCCAAAGTCGATGGGAAGCAGTGCTCATAGCACCCCCTCCCTGCTGAGCTCGGAGTCTGACACCCGATGGCATCTCCTCTGCCCTGCTCAGGGGCTCCACACAGAAACTGCTGCTGGTGGGCTTCTCCCATGGGTGTTCTTGCTTCCCAGCTCTGATCAAGGCCAGAAGGCAGCTTGGGGCCTAATTTGCACAGCAGCAGCTCACCAATAAACTTGCTGAACCAAAGACTGACATTAAAAACTGAACTGTGGAGTACAAACAGTGATCTGTGGATTTTTAGGGGATTTTTCCAGTTCAACCTCAATGCATATGGTTAGCATAATTCACAGTAGTTTTTTTGCTCAAGGTGCTAGTAATCTCTCAGAAGTCTTTCTCAAAGGTATGCAATAAACCTCCTGGAGCAAGATTTTCCACACAAGTAATAAGGTCTTATAAAGATGGAAGTTGTTTCAAGAGGTGCTAGCCACATACTCATCCTTATGTGATACTTTTATCTCCTGACTAATAAGTAGTTCCTTTTTGGGTGAGGAACTGCTATATTAAAAAACAGTAGTATTTTTGCATCATTATGGTTTTTTAAGGGAGAGCTTCCAGGCAGGGATGACTTAGGCCATGAATGGTTAAATTATTACCTAGATAAAAACATGGTTTTGATCCCTAGTCATATAATTGATTCTTAGTTGTAAAACTAACTATGAATCTGTAAAAAAGACAGTTACTAAGCAATTTTCTGTTCAATAGTTGTTGGAGACTACTCTTTCTCATAATTCTTTATCTCCCAGCAGATTTTTAAAAGCATCACCAATGAAGACTCAGTCCAGGGACAAGGAAGTCGGAGATTGATAAGTTTTTCACTGTCAGGTAAGTCACTGCTGATAAGTGTTAAGCCCAAAGAGTTTGGGACTGAAGTTACTAGAACCTTTTATGTACACACATGTGTAAGTATATGTATGTATATATTTATGCATGGATTCTTTGTCTGTACTAAAAGTAATGCTGAGACAAAGAATAAAAATCTATGATTTTTGCCACACTCATTTCCTTCAATGAGTGTTACGTGCTTGTTCTTGTAAGTACTTGTTCAAGTAGAGTTCTGGTGCCATATTAGGTTTTTCTGTTTACAATTAAATATGTAGGTCACAGAAAGCAAGATCAAAGGCATGTGCTTTATTTACAGAGCAAAATGGATTTGTGGTAGTACTCTGTTCCTTGGAAAGCACGTTCCACAGTCATGGTCTGGACTTGAGGCAGATCCATGTGCTGTGGTGCAGAAGATTCTCTGTATTGCTCAAAAGCGACTCTCATACTTCTTGAGCCAGAAGACTGCTCTCATTTATTTGCATTTCATGAGGAATGCTTAGGCTCATTACTTGGCATGTCACTGCAGGTTTTAAAGGCTTGATATGTTTCCATGTAACAGCTATGAGCCATTTGATCTAGCTTTGGTAAGAACAACATGTAAATCACGTCTGTAGACAGAAACCAATTTGTCAAAAGAGTGGTTATGAACATGACTCTTATTTTGGAGTCTTATGCTTGCTGGTTGGTTTCCATATTTTTTTAGCTCCTGGAAGACCAAGAGAAAGATGCTTGACTTGACTTGGAAATTCTTTGAACAGGTAGTACAAAGTGTTACCCTAGTTCAAAAGTTTTACAGGTGTGGGCCTTTAAGTGTGAAGTCCTACTCTTGGACAAGCATCTCATTATATGATTGGTTTTGGCCATATGATTTATTTCAAGCTTCCCTCTATTAAGGATGCATGTCAGTGCTTTTCCAACTTAGGCAGCCAGTGTGGTTCTTGAGAGGTTGTGTATGACACATAGCAGATCAGACTGACATTGGACAGGGCTTTTTTAACACATGGATTACGTTTGCCAGGTTGCACACTGGACATCCACCCATCAGTTGATAAAACCACAGGTTTAGCTCAACAGAAATAAAGAAGCATTAATATTTTTTAATGTCCATAAATAATCCTAAGCAGAAAATGTGGCCCAGAACTAGTTACATTTTTTCATTCTCTCAGATTCTTTGGCCTAGTAAGCCAAGAAGTGTCAATAGTAATTTGTGGTTTCAAAAGCAGTAAAATGTGAGGTCAGTGGGCCCTTTTATGAACTAGAGTATCTAATTTGCACTTTGATTGAAAGTATATAAAGACCATACCTCATAATGCGTGTGGGATATCTAATTCATGTGATTCACAAGCAATTAATCTGCATATATATAGCATCCATATTAACAACATCATCATAGCCAACTATATGAAAAGCTTTGATAAAATAGTTTGGCAATTATTTTATCAAAAATCTAAGTTATCAAAATAGCTCCATTTTAGTCTTTCTGAAATTAACAGATTAACACATCACAAGGATTTATTTATTACCTTCTTAGTCAACACCACAGCAACAAAATGTTGTCTCTCGCAAAGCAAAATTATTGCTATTCCTATATCTATTATGCTTGCTAATAAAATGCAGATGAAGGCAGACCTCCCAGAGGCATCAGAAGGAATTGGGATTCCTTTCCATTTGCACCCCTATCTCAGCAGTAACCCCTCTACTGTGATGAGTCCTTTTTGCTCATACAGGGTTTTCCTTTTCAATATCTGTATTTTGGTATACTGTCATCTTCAGTCATTAGTTAATACAGTCATTACTTAAAAGTTAGGTTTCCAAATTATGATTGATTTAGTTGCAGTTATAAAAAAAGGGCTGGAGTGTCATTAATGTGACTGGAGCCCATTGCACCAACACAGAGGAACCTAAGCAGTCCGTAATCTAAAGAATGCAAGAGGAGCTATGCCTTCTGCCATATAATTTTTTAGAAGAAAAAGTTATTAGAATGGGAGAGAAAAAATCTCAAAGTAGGCCAAATCATAAGAAATGCTGAGCAACATGAGTGCATTTCAGCTGCCTTGTATTGCTTTCTCTACCACTGAGAGAGTCCAGTGAGACCCTATGTTAAAATGAACTGTGTGGAAACAGGTTTTTTTTTCTAAAAAGTTGTTGACAAAGTGCTTTATTCTTCCTGTAGTTTATTGAGTATTTGGTTGGACAAAATCCAACTGTTTAACTGGAGGGTATTTTTCAGAAAAGATTTCTGGATTGAATAAAAATGTCAAACAATGAAAAAGGTGTAAAATGATCCTTCAAGGCACAAGAATATGACTAGCTTCTTGAGAATGGAAACAGCAGAGAGTTTGCACTATGTCACTAGGAGAGCTGTTTACTTCATGTTTGCTTCCTTGAGACTGGAAGTTATTCCTGTGAAAGGCTGGTTTAGATTAATAGGTTCACTGGCAGCACTGGTCTCAAAGAAGATAATTTCCCATGATTAAGCTTCTTAATAATTTTTATGATGACTGTATTATTATATCTTTCATTAATTAAAATACCAAGAGAAATATTTTAAGGCTAATTTAGCTAGACTGAAAAAAGCCTTTAAGGAAAACTCTGCATTTACTTTGCAAATGTGCCTTTTCTCCTGTCCCCAGTGAATGTCACGCTTCCAATAAGGTGGCTGAAAAGCATCAGAGCTCTCTTGCATGAAGTACAGAAGGAAAAAATGTGCTAAGCTTCCTGAGATGTACCAGCTACTTCACTTGCAGGTTCATGGTTTAACAGCAGCATAATGCATTTGCTGAAAGCCCCTAAAACCAGTCTTGTTGGCTGGTATATTTAGAAAGTGTTATCATGTGGTTTGCATAATATGCCTCCTAGCTCTATACTGCATCAAATAAATTTTTCCAGGCTTTAATATTTCACATATCTCATGTTTTTGCACACTTTATTTATAAGTGTCCTTGGGGAGCAAATTACCAGAAGATCTGAATATTTCACAAACATTCAGGCATTTATCTCCATCACACATCTCTGAGAATCTTGTTAGTTGTTTTTGTGTGGTTTTCAGACCAGACAGTCAAGTAATAACAGTTGTCAGTTTATAGAAGATAGAGCATAAATCACAACTGAAAATAGTATAAGGTCTGCTAAGGGTCATTATTACAGTAGCTGTTAGCATGAAATGCTTGTTCAGAATGCAGATATTTAATGCCCTTTATTTTCCAACAATTTTTAAATCCTAGTGGCTGACTTTATAAGTACTAATCCCACACCTTTTTCTTACTTGTCAGATCTTGTGTCAAGGTGAGGTGGCTTTTTACCATGTCCAGTACACATTGTGCCTATAAGGTATGCCTAGACTAGCAGATTGAAAGGCCTCAGAAGGCTTAGAACTCAACTACTCCATTCTCCTAGTTAACACAGGACACCTTTCCCTGTGGTGGTTAGCTTTGTGTGAGTTTGGCTCAGAGGTATGTCACAGACAGCTGTGTAGTCAGGATCTGAGGATACCAAGATTGTGCTTTGCTCCAGTGGTTAATCACTTGCAGTGATAAAAACACCCCCTTGCTGTGATAAGGTGTTCATATTAATGGTTCAGACTTTTTCTGTGTTTTCATTTTTGATGAAGATGATTAAAAAGGTAGCCTCTCAGACATTTTGGAATAATTAATTCCATATTGCTTGTCTTTTATTAATGCACCTATTTTCTTCCTAATATGTCTACCGACCTTTATTTAAACAAATGAGAAACCCTTTTGTTTTTCTTTGAAGCATTTATAGCTAGGAAAAAAATTTCTTCTCTTTTTTACTGTCTTTAATGTTTTGCCTGGGAGCCCTGTGACAGAAACATTTTAGTTTATCTGATCCACTTAGTCTATTTTTTTTAATCTCAGACCTTAAAATACCTTCTTGTGCAACTACACTAGCCCTTTCTTTTTTCCTGCATTTTGTTTTAAAATAAAAGTGAAGTGTGTCTGTCTTTATGTCTGTAATTTCTGGGAACAAAAAGAAGCACTTTATTTAACCTTTTGCATATCATCAGTTGTAGAATCTCATTCAGTAGCTGATCAAGTCAGTTATCTCTTGTACTTCAAGTAGTATCTTTCTCAATTCCCCTGCATTAGTTTGCTGTGTTGGATTTTAATACTTCCTGTCATTGCACATTACAGTTTGATTTCTAGAATAGATTCCTAATTTGCTTCTTGAAATCTAAACAATATCAGATGCAATACTTCTGCAAATCCATGCTCACCTTCTTCCAAAGAGGTGATTGCCAAATGAAGTTTAGTATCATACACTGCTTCATGAGTCAAATTGGCATTTTAGTAAATGCAATATTGCTGTGCTCTTACTATTGAAATATTGTTCCATTGACAGTAACTAAAAGTATTGCTTTAAGAGCACAAGGCTGAGAGGCAGTACCTATCTGCCTCCCATTGAATCTTGAGCAAGCAGAGTTTTGTTGTTCCTTTCTTTGAAGCCATGCCTCTATCTTAGGCAGCTCAGCTCAGTAGATGAACTGCTGCACTCTGAGACAGGTTCTTCCTGTTCTGTCCAAGGTCTAGAAAAGAAACACTGACATATTAACACCCTGGCAATTACCTTCTCTCATTGGCAGTCTGTCCAAATACCAGTCCTGTTCAAGTATGTTTCTTCAGTGTCAGAATCAGAGCTGATAGCTCTTTGGGAATTCACAAAGGAAATCTGAAGGGAAGTGGTGGAGTTGTCCATTGACATCCAAATTAGCAACTCTTTAGTTGTGATGGATTATGAAGATGGTTTATTGGGCTTTGATACATGAACTATCAGGATCTCAGTAAGATGACAGTATTTTTTTACTTTCTGCCATTAATGAACAGATCATAGAATAAATCCTATTTTGTTATTCTTCAGACTAGATCATAATCTAAATTGACCATGGCCATTCCAGTAAGACTAGGGTCTTTCCAGTGTGCTGTGTACTTCATTAGTTCTGGTTTTAGGTATATTCTGGGTAAGTTTGGCATAATTCAAGATGTCTTCATTCCCTCAAAGGGTCAGATGGCTCATAAGGAATATATCTCCTTTTGTGGTCCTGAGATCATGAGGCTGATATGCCAAATATGAAAAATGTGAATTTGGTGTGTTGAGCATAGAATTTCTTAGGGTTAATAACCTCTGCATAAGTGCCAGTACAGATACCTGCAAGACATCAATTGTCATCACTTGGATGGTGCTGGGGAACACAAAGAACATTCAATATTTGGCATTTGTTGAATGGAATTTGCCATCTGTTTTAAAATATCAGTATCTGTTTCTCAAAACTAGTAGCTCTGCTACTTACTAGTCTTTGACCCTTCTGTTGGGCTGTAGACTCTGGAAGCTTCAGTAGAATTTTCAGCAGAATATGTACCATCAAGAGACCAGAGGGACTGAGTCTTTTTAAGACACATCTATAAACTGCAAAGAGCAGCCTTGTGTGTCATTTCTAGGAAAATCCCATTGGTAAAGTCTATAAACTGCACGAAGTAGTCTTGTGTGTTATTTCTAGGAAAATTCCATTGGTAAAGTCTTCTTGTCCCTTGGGGAGAACAGCTTTGAGCTCCCTTAACTTACTCCTGACGTATTGATAAACAGACTAAATGTAATTAAATTAGATAACAGACTGCTCCAGAGTCTGGTTCTCTGTCTGATTCTCCATCCTTTTCTGTCACACTCCTATATGGAGCATGGGTCTTGTTGAATACCTTGCTATGTCTGTGGGGAATTGAAATACTATCTTTATGGTAGTTTTGCTCATCATTTCTGTCAGAGAATCTCCTTGCTGAGCATGACAAAACGTGACTCTTCCATGAGCTTTTGGAAGCTTAATGACTTGTATTGAGGCAAAATCAAACATGGTAAAACACAGATGTGTTCTAGCTGAGTTGTTGGAATTTACATCCCCACCTGGCTCCAATAAATGCACTAGTTCACCACAGAAATAGCCTCCATCACTATCCAGCCACCGGTGCCCCAAAGTTTGTCGTGCTGCATGGCAAATAGATTTGCTGAATGATCCTTTATAAAGCAGACAGGGAAGTTGATGGCACACCTTTGGGACAGAGGGTACATGCATGCAAGTGACCCAGGGTAAAGCTTCCTTAGGTCTCATCCAGGCACCTGGAGATCAGCATATATGGAAGGAAAGCTCTGGAGTTGGAACAAATTCATAAGTCACTTGGGGACAGCAGCAGGCAGCAGTTAGTACAAGCCATTTTTCTTCAGTGAGGACAGCCTGGGTGAAATAGGATGCATGTACTTAAAAGTTGTGCAAGTCTGTGGCAGTAATTACTTTGTCTTTACCTGGATTTCTTCCTTCTGTCATCTGTCATGAGAGATGGCCTGACATTATTAAACTGCTAGATGTATACAACCTCTTTCACACTAAAATGTGATTTATGACTAAATGAGAAACTGGCATATGGTATATTATTAAAAATATGGTATATTTTTTTAAGAGACTGGATGAAAATACACCTTTGCAAACCATAGATGAGTTATCTTTGTAGCATTTCCTCATATGCCTCCAAGAAACACACTCTAAAGTTAGTGTACAGTGTACAGCAAGGTACATCCCAGCCTTCTGGAATTCATTCATTCAACCAAAGATTTAAATTCATTTAGCTTCAGACCTTCACTTAAAAGTTTAGTATCTTCTGAACCTTGTTTTGAAGATGATAGAGAAAAATATTTGTATTTGGGAAAGCAGAATGGCTGTGATTCTTCTGTTGGGGAGTTATGCTGGAGTGGTAAGAGTTACAGCAGCAAGTTACAGCAGATAGTTACAGGACCTACAGATAGGTTTTGCTTCAAATGAAATGAAATTCTGCTTGTCTGCAGATATCCATATTTTTTAGTTTTGATGCTCTGTTTGTTTTTCACAGTGATGAGAATTTGTGGTGAGATATATAATTGGGATATTTGTCCTTGGGAAAGCTAATTCTGCTAGCCCTATTCATACTCTGGACAATAAAATTGAAATTTCTAACTGACTTTTTTTTTTTTTAAACTGCATTACTGTGTAATTTCAGTAGGAAAACTACACAAGTAAAATTTTGTGCCATGTGCTTTGCTAAATTACTTTTTTTCTCCTCATCTGAATACAAAAATGAGACTATTAACTGAGGCTGGGAGTACCTTCATCTTCATGGCTGTGCTCTAATTCCCATAACTGGAAAGAGGGTGTAGGTGATCCTCAATGTATTTTCTTTATGATACATGATCTATAAGTATACATAATTGAGTGGTAGGTATTTTCTATCAGTAGAAAAATTTCAGTATTTTGTTACTCTGTGGTACCCAAAGATAACATGGTCTCTCTTTGAAGGAAAAAAAAACCAACCCAGAAACATATACAGCAATAAATATTTCAGTTTCAGGGTCTTTTGAGGAAGTATTGAGAAAGAAAATAAGATCCCAGAGGTCTTTGTCTCCTTTCATATGTTAGCAGCCTCAGCTAATGGACTGCTGGTCCTTGTCGTTCATACTCTTTTTGCAATCTTGGTTTTTATTTCCTGAATGCATTTCTAACAGTACAACTACCAAAGCAAAAGAGTTTGCCATATAGAATTTCAGCAGGGCTGTTAGATGAGATACAGGCTGGTTACACAGAGATTTTGCACTCAGAAGAAAAAAGAGGGGAAAAAATCAGTGTTATCTTTTTGAAGCAGATAATTTTCTTTGTGTGATAGAATTGCTAGGACTGTGGCAGTACATAGTTTCAGCAATGTACTTTCAAATAAGCTCTTAGTAGTGATGTCCTCTATTGGTTTTTGTTTGTTTGTTTGTTTTTTTGTTAGAGAATGTCTCAAGAATGAGATTCTTAAAATACAGTCTGTTTCAGGACCATCTGTCCAACAGCTTTTGAATATGTGCAGCATGAATTGTGTGGTGGAATAGATGATTAAAACCAACGGAAAGAAAGGCAATTCTTTTTAATTTGCACATTTTATTGTGTTGGCTATTACCACATGTTAAGGAAGCAACACACAACTGGGTTTGATATAGCTATTTTCTGGAAAAAATACTGATGATGGTGTGCAGTGTGTATGATTTTCAGAGTCATCCAAAATATCTGCCTTGAGGGTTTTTCATGGTTTCCCACAACCTGCCAGAATAATTGGGTTTTTAATCAGAAGAGAATTAGAAGACTGTGAAAATTAATGTTTTCAAAAACTGCCAGAAGAAAAAATATGTGTTTAAATTGAATGTTTAGGTATGCATCTCTGCAGTTTTAGAAACCATTATGTCTAATACTTTTTATCTCTCCAATACAGCAAGAGGAAATAGGCAGAATGCAGTACAGTGCTTATACCCCAATGTGAAATAAAGCTTTAAATAGAGGAGAATCTCCATGCTAAGAGTGGTGGAAAATAAATTAGCTACTGAACTCCCTAATAGGAATAAGTGCTTCTATGTGCCAAAGAAAGCTTAGAAATGCATCTGGAAAAAGAGAAGACCGAGGGGGTCAGTCTGTGTCTGTTGAGCTAAAATTAATGATATACCAGCAGATTAGTTTGCATTTCACCAGCTTCATAGTGACAGATCATAATGGGCATTGTGTCTTTCTTCAGAATGTTGTGGGGAAATTTTCAAATAAGTGCCTGGGCATTTTCTGTGTGTGCAACATATATTATGCTCCCTGGGAGTTCTGTAGCTGTAAAGCCCTGCTTAAAATTTGGACATTATAGACAAGAGTTTTCTTAAGGTGAAGTTAACCCATGCAGGGAAGAAAATGATTTAAAGTGGGGAAAATGTGTAAAATGACTTCTTATATAGAAAAGAGTGGTGTAAAAGGTAAGATCTGTACAATGGTAAAATTGATACCTAGGAAAAACGGCATCCATTGGGTACTAAATGCCATGACTTTGACATTAAATGACAGGATCTCTTTTTCAGAGTAGTCCTTCCTTTAGTCAGTCTGAGCAAGTGCTCAGCTTATTAGAAAAATTAGTATATAACTTTAAGTTGCATAAATATTGATTTGGAAGCTGAATCAGTCTGCACAATCAGGCTGTAAATTTGCAGTTTCATTATGTAATAATTTGTAAATTCTAAATCAGAAGATCATTATATGATCTTTGGCATTACATTGCCGTACAACAAACATAGTGAGTTTTTTCACATTCCTGCCATGTTGTTTGAGTTCATTATCAGTTCCCTATATACTGTTCCTAGCATGCCAAAGAGATGCCTGGAATGTGAAGAATAATTCGATTCTTTACCTTTCAGATTTCCAGGCTTTTGGTCTGAAGAAAGGGATGTTCTTCAATCCAGATCCTTATCTGAAGATTTCCATCCAGCCTGGAAAACATAGCATCTTCCCAGCCCTTCCTCACCATGGACAGGAGAAAAGATCTAAGATCATCTGTAACACTGTTAACCCTATCTGGCAAGGAGAGGTAAGCAGCTGGAGAGTTAAGCTGAGACTTTTCTTAAAGCATGGACATCACTCTGGTACTATTTTTTTTATTTTTAAATTAAGTTCTTGGCTAAATAGTTGTTGAGCTAATTGTGTTTGATGTATTCTATGAGTACTTGTCTCAGTAATTAGCTACAAAGATGGGTGGTACATTAAAACTTTCAGTATACTTTCAGTGTAGGTTGTACTTCATTGGTGCAGTTTATAAAGTTGTTAATTAATGAAGGCAGGCATGAAACAGAATTGAAAAATAAACTTGCATTGCATGAAAGGCTGCTGCTAGATTTTATAGTGTTCTTACACAGAGACATTATATGAAGCACAACAAGTATAGCATGCAAATAAAGAGAAGCAATATGACTGAAAAGCATCAGTGGCAACACAAATCAAAGGCAACTTTGGCACATTTGGCCATCACCTTGAAGAAATAGTCTGTAGTCTGCTTCTTTTTGTTGGAAGGACTTTATGTATTAATGAGATCTGAGAGTTCAATTGCTGCCTGCTGTTTTTAAATTACATGCAAAATGGCAATAAGCAGCAAAGAATAAGGAATCTCTTTGGAATTAAAGGAGCCTGACATACTGGGTGTGATTTACTGGTGTGCTCTGTCACAACAATATCTCCACTGCAGGAAAGAGTAAAAGTAAATAAATACACTGCACAGATTTATTCAAATTAAAATGCAAATTGTGAAGTAGCTGAGGGATAATTAGGTCAAACTCTGTAGAGATGGAGCTGTGAGTGGGCAAAAAGACAGCAGAAATAGAATTGAATTCTCCTACCTGAAGAAATTAGATACCACATCAGGTTATGTGGTGGGTGGGGGAGGTTGTATGACTGGAAAAAGAACCTTGAAGCTAGTCAGAGAAAAATGCTTTCTAGCAGGACTTAATTGAGGACATCGTTATGAGGCATCCACCAAGTGATGACTTCTCTGTGGAGCCAAGCATCAGATGTATCTGGTTGAGAGGTCCCAGGTCCAGCTGTGGAAATGGTCAGGCTAGAGCTGGCGTGGAGGATCAGGCAGTTGGCAGAGACCTTTCAGTGAAGTGCAGAAGACCCAGAACTAGAGGGGAGCAGGTATGAAGGGGAGACTTGCTCTCTGTGTGTGATACTCAGTACATAGGCTCTGATAAAATGTCACGGGTGTCTTCTCCTCAAGCTGTGCCAAATGGCTGAGTTTGTGGGCTGACATTTCTTTTCCAAGTGGAGTTTGGCAGCAAGAAAAGGAGAAACAATGAAATGGCCTAATTATGGACAAAGGAAAGCAAAAGAGCACAGCTGGCTTCCAGCCTTGCTGTTCAGCCCCCAGGTTTTCTTGATCGCGTGCAAGCGTGCTGCTTCTCCCTTTCTGTTGTTAGCCTGTGAGGGGCAAGGGAGTGTAAAGGAGCCAAGCCATGGTTAGCATGTTCTCCTTCTGCCTTCTCCTCAGCCGATATTGGGATGTTTAACTGCATACATTTGCGCTGCAGTCTGTGCAATCAGCCTCTCTGAACTCCTTGTTTTGTTACTAAAAGCTGCATTGGTTTCTGCTGCACAGAAGACCACAGACCTGATTTTCTGCAGCCTTCATGGGACAAGGGGAGAAGGAAGACTGAAAACGGTTGCTGAATCATGGTGGTAGCCATTCTTCTGTCTACCCTTTTCACTCATGGATGTGAATACATGAAGTGATAAAATACTGAGGACTCTTAGCCATTTCATTAAGAGTATCAGTCACAAGTTGTTTTCGCAAAAACAAATTTTAGCAATGTACTATTTCAGAAGGGTCATTCTTTCCTTAGATTCTCTGTCACTCCATGTGAATAGAAGGCAAATGTTCTTTTTTTTTTTCAGTTGAATGACCTATCTGATTTGTATTGGATGCTAAACTTGAAAAAAATCTGAAATGGAGAAATAAAATTATTGAAATATCTGCAGACAAGGATCTTTCTATATGTTCTTGATTACCCTTGAGCAAATTCAGAAAGAGTCAATTCAGTTTTCAAGGGCTTTAGCACTAAAAGTCCTACAGACTAAAAGATGACTGATTTACTTATATTAATTTGTTCTGGTATTCTTCCTCATATACTTACTAGGCTGCTCTGTTTGTATAGTAACCACCTGCATTATACAAACATGTTGGCAGCACCCTGGTACCTCAGGCAAATTTTCATCTGTCTCATGTAATATTGATGATCATCTTCATTTCATAGGCTGTTCAAATGCTGTTCAGCACAAGTTTTCCTGACTTAAAGTTATTCTTTCATTGCTCTGATTTGCAGTACTTTGTACAAGGAGACAAGGAAATTTCTTACAGATAAGGAGTAGCAAGTGACAATTTGACACTTGCAGCAGGGCTCACTGTAGAGGTGAAAGAGCCCTCACGCTGAGGCAAGTTAAAGCCCAAGGTGGTGACTTCTCCTGATAGAGAGACATCATTTTGAACATGGTTCTGTATGTTTCCACATGCTCTTCAGAAACATCTGTAATGTTAAATAAGTGAGTGCCTGGAAATTACATGGCACTGGACAGCTTGACTCTACAGTCCCAAATTAAGCAGGTATTGCCCTGCCAGCCCATACAATTGCAAAAGCACAAAGAGTGAATAGTCCTATCATGCTGATTGGAGATAAAATGCAAAGAAAATCTCAGAAGGAAGTGCCCATTTCCTAACTCTTGTGTAAATGTAGTGGAATTGAGAAGGATGGATGCTTATCTTCTAATATAGATAGTAGAAAAATAGTGACACTAATGACACATGAAAAATAATAACAATATTTCCATATTGCTTCATATTGAAACAATATATGTGCTGTCATGTTGTTTGGAAACAGCTCATTTAAAAAGACTTAATTTTTCAGAAATCAGTGAAGTGATACACAGCTCAGACAAGTAATAGATCACAGGAACAAAGCAAAGTGGTTTAAAAAGTAGTTCACATACCTCCAACTGTATAGGAAATTCTATGGTTTCGCAGATAAAGTACTTAAGCTTTCTGGACTTAACTTAGATGTATTTATGGTATTTCTTTCTTAACTACGGCAGCTTGAGCAGAATGTTTCCTCAATTCTTGTTTTATTTACTAGTGAGTGGAAGGAGACCTCTGAGGAATGGCCAATGAGGTGATGATAAAAATTGGCTGATGCAACTTCTCAGCACACTTAAAGTAGTAGGAATGTCATCTGTTAAATAACATTGAATTTCAACTCCAGTAATCTAACTCTGGAGGAGTAGATTGCCCTAAAATGGGACCCCACTACTAGGTTAAAACAATCTCAACTTCCTGTGGTTCCACTCCTTGTTTCTTTGCCTCAGCTTTTACAAACACTATTAAAATATAGTTGAGACAAAAGAGTGTTTGGAATCACTCTGAAGACAGCCACATTTCACTAGTGAATTAATTGATGTGAATAAGCAGAGAGCAAGAGCGCTTAACAACTAGCAGTTAGTATGTCAGATCTGATACACAGAGGTACAGGATTTTCATGCTCCCTGCACCTCAGATAAGTCACAACCTTTCAAAAATATTGCACTTGAATAATTTCTCACGTAAGCTGTCTCTTGAGATTACCAGTGCAAAATCAGAGGAAGGAAGCACTCAGGGGCTTGAACACCAGTGGGAGGTGGCTCCTGTAGTGCAGGCCATCATCAGTGATAGAAGCACTGAGTTTGGATGCTGCCTGCGGGAATGCCAAGATGCAGCTGACTCTCTGAGTGCTGGTGTGTGACTGCTTTTCTTGATGCAGAGTTATAACTTGGGCAATGATTCTGGTATCCTGAATTCAGAAGTGCTATGTAATAGACCACCCAGCAGTTCTGGGACTGGAAAACATTTGCCAAAGTAGCCAGATCAGGCAGTAAGAGGTTTATGTAAGCTCTGTTCCTCTCTAGATGCTTTATGTTGGCTGATAAAATGGGTGCTACCTGGTGTAGCACAAACCTAGAGTCATACAAGCAGGGGATGCTTGACCAAAGCTGTGTCTTTCCAGAGCAGAGTAAAACCATTGAAGATGTTTTATATATTTGAATCAACAGTATAAATTTACACTAAAGTGGGTTGTGCTTGATCTGATTTTGATCTAATATTCAGAACACTAGAATGCTGTCAACCCTACCATGGCCTTACAGAAGCATTCTATAATTTCAACAGAAGACCAAAATAAAAGCAACAGAAACATCACACTGACTGAATTCCTTATTGTTTAGCCTGGATAAGCTTTTCTCCCTTCTACTGCCAAATACAAAAGAATATGCTGTAGGACCTTGGAGGCCTTCGCACCTAAGCATGAAAACAATATACAGGTGAAGTCAAATCCAGATCCTGAATTTCGTATGAGTTTCACCAGAGGTATCATCAGGACTGAGTGAAGCGTGAGTGGTAGCTTCCCTGTATAACATTTCTGCATACACGTCCAGGTAAAGAGTAAAACATTGTTTGACTATACAGACAAGCTATAGCTTTACAGCTAGAGATTTTAAGATCTGTTGATGATTGAAGTGTCAAAGCCCAAGACAACTTTAGCTTCTTCAGGAATGGGTTGTGGTGTGAAAAATCCTCTAGATTTTTTTTAGGATGTTATTCTTCTAGAACTGTATTTTACTTGCAACTTGTGCATCTAGAAGACTATCGGTCTTGCTAGCTTGGTATACTACTGATGATGAGAGTCTTCAAATATTTTCAGTCTTTGCTGTGCTAATAAATTTGTAGTCAATTCTGAGATGAATCTGAGGGAGAAGTCCAGAAAGCCAATTTTCTGAAGGCCCTATCTGACTTGGAAGGAGTTCAGTAGAAAGGAATGAATCAGACTTTAGAAAATCAATGTGTGCATTTATGTGAATCCCTTTTATGGTAGGGAAAAAAAACACCCAACAATTGTGCCATGCCATAATAATAAAGAACTGCATTGGATTTGTCCCCCTGCAGTCTCTGCTGTGCTCCAGCAGTCTCTCATAGTAGGAAAAGGCATGTCCCCACCCACAGCAGCAGTGGAGCTCTGC